CCCAAAACAGAGTTCCCCATGCTCTGGGTACCATGAGGTACCCAGAGGCCAGGAGGGCTTAGCCAATAAGCTTCCCTTCCCAGACATTCCTCACTGCAAAAGGTATTTAATCTCAGGCCCACCTTGAGAAAGGGGATACATAACATTACACATCCATTTTCTGCCATGATTAATAAACTGTTTGGAAGTATGGACTGTTTTTCACCAAGATCCACAGTGGAGAGTCATGAAGGCCTTCAAATACAGAGCTGAAGCCTAATCTCCTTCAAATACAGAGCCCAGCCACAACCTCCACCAAGCCTGCTACTGCCAAGGACAATCAACCCTTAAGATAAGCCAGAGCTCCCCCTCCTAACTGCTCCACTCCCCTATCTCCACCCCACGCCCCACGCCCTGGCCCAGGCTAGTTGCTGTCCCCAGCCCTTAGCCCCTGGCTCCATTCTCTGCTCTTCTGAGACTCCCCAGCAGCACTTGGATGTCTAAGAGTCTGAGAACCCCACAACCCCAGCCTCATCGCAAGGACCCCGGAACCAGCTCCAGCTTTCCCACTTTCCCATCCCTGGAGCTGTGCTTCGGGGATTCCTTATGGCCCAGCACCTGTGGCAGTGTGGGATAAGAACAGTCATACCCTCCTCCTTCCACATCCCCCAACTGATGAGGATCTACAGGTAGGTGGCCCTGTGCCTCAACTGGGGGCCATGCCTATCTACTGGAGATCTTTTCAGGTTCCATCTCCCCACTGTTGGGGATTTCGGCTGAAGTCACCCCCATTGAGTCCTGGGAGTGTCTAAATTCTTTCCCCTCCCCCACCCCCGCTACATATTTCCACTCATTCTCCTGGCCTTCTGTCTCCTCCCATCCCTGATCCTGTCCCCCTTTTCCTCTCTGCCTTCCCTCTCCCATCCAAGTCCTTTCATCCCTCTGCCTCCCATGATTATTTTGTTCCCCCTTCTAAGTGGGATGGAAGCATTCTTACCCAGGCCTTCATTCTTGTTTTACTTCTTGTGGTCTGTGGGGTGTATCCTGGGTATTCTGTACTTTTTTGGCTAATATCTACTTATTAGTGAGTACACACCATGCATGTCCTTTTGGGTCTGAGTTACTCAGGATAATTTCTAGTTCCATTCATTTGCCTGCAAAATTCATGATAACCTCATTTTTAACAGCTGCATAGTATTCTATTGTATAAATGAACCATATTTTCTGTATCTATTCTTCGGATGAGGGGCATCTGGGTTGCTTCCAATTTCTAGCTATTACAAATAAGGCTGATATGTGACCATAGTGCAGCATGTGTCCCTGTGGTATGGTGGAGCATCTCTTGGCCATATATGCCCAGGAGTGATATGACTGGATCTTCAGTTAGAACTATTTCCAATTTTCTGAGGAACCTCCAGATTGATTTCCAGAGTGGTTGTACCAGTTTACAATCCTAACCAACAATGGAGGAGTGTTCCTCTTTCTCTACCTCCTCACCAGTATCTACTGTCCCTTGAATTTATCTTAGCCATTCTCAGTGGTATAACATGGAATCTCAGGGTTATTTTGATTTGCATTTTCCTGATGACTAAGGATGTTGGACACTTTTTAGGTGCTTCTCAGCCATTCAAGATCTCCTCTGTTGAGAATTATGTTTAGCTCAGTATCATAGTTTTTAATAGTTATTTGGGTTTGGAGTCTAACTTCTTAAGTTCTTTGTATATTTTGGATAATAGCACTCTTTCCAATCTGCGGGTTGCCATTTTGTCCTATTGACAGTGTTTGTTGCCTTATAGAAGCTTTTCAGTTTCATGAGGCCCCATTTGTCAATTATTGATCTTAGAGTATGAGCAATTGATGTTCTGTTGAAGAAAATTTCCCGTGGCCATGTGTTCAAGGCTCTTCCCCACTTTCTCTTCTATTAGTTTCAGTGTATTTGGTTTTATGTGGAGGTCCTTGAACCACGTGGACTTGAGCTTTGTACAAAGTGATAAATATAGATCAATTTGCATTCTTCTAAGGGCAGACTGCCAGTTAGACCACCATCATTTGTTGAAGATGGTTTTGGCTTCTTTGTCAAACATCAAGTGTCAATAGATGTGTGGGTTTACTTCTGAGTCTTCATTGTATTCCATTGATCTGTCTGTCTCTGTACCAATACCATGCAGTTTTTATTACTATTGCTCTGTAGTATAGGTCAGAAATGGTGATTCCACCAGAAGTTCTTTTATTGTTAAGAATTCTTTTGGCTATCCTGAATTTTTTGATTTTCCATATGACGTTAAGAATTGCTCTTTTCATGACTGTGAAGAACTGTGATGGAATTTTGATGGGGATTGCATTGAAGCTGTAGCTTGCTTTTGGTAAAGTGGCCATTTTTACTATATTAATCCTACCAATCCATGAGCATGTTGGTCTCTTCATCTTCTCAGGTCTTCAATTTCTTTCTTCAGGGACTTGTTCTTGCCACTCAGATCTTTCACTTTCTTGGTTACAATTAAATCAAGATATTTTTATACTATTTGCGGCTATTGGAAAGAGCATTATTTCCCTAATTTCTTTCTCAGCACATTTATCATTTGTATAATGAAAAGCTACTGATTTAATTATATACCCAGCCACTTTGCTGAAGTTGTTTATCAGTTGTAGGAGTTCTCTGGTAGAATGTGAGGGTCACTTATGTATACTATCATATCATCTGCAAATAGTGATACCTTGATTTCTTCCTTTCTAATTTGCATCTCCTTGATATCCTTTTGCTGTGTAAGTGCTCTAGCTAGATCTTTAAGTATTATATTGATAGAGAGTGGGCAGCCTTTTCTTGTCCTGGATTTTAGTGGGATTGCTTCAAGTATCTCTCCATTTAATTTGATGTTTGTCATTGGCTTGCTTGTTTTATTATGTTTAGGTATGTGCCATGAATTCCTGATCTCTCCAAGACTTTTAACATGAAGGACTGTTTCAAGTATACAAGGGACCTAAGGCTAGGTCCCATACCCATACTAGGATGATATATGGAGATATACTGCATTGAAAAAGAAAGATAACCTGCTGGTCATGCAGGCACATGGTTTTAATTCTAGCAATCCAGAGGCAACAGCAGAGGAGGCACACGAAAGGAAGAAAAAAGGTGAATGGGAGACATGAGGAAAATGGGTTTTAGAGACCAACTGAATCCACTTTAGGATGATAGTCAGTGACATCCTGGACTGACAGCATCCAGTAAAACCAGAGGACAACCAGCTTAGTTAAGGGCTAGAGAATGGAGGTCCTGAAGGAAAACATCAGGTGCATTTGAAAACTATGTGATAGCACTCTGAAATAAAGTGAAGCCACAATAATGAAAAGATGCAAGAAATAAAGGATTAAATGTGGCAGTGTAAAATTAAGTGATATGTTTTATATATAAAGAAAAGACAACAAGAAGGGCCCAGGGACAAAAATATACTGATTATCCCTGAATGACACTTGTTCATCAACAATGCATACTATAGAATTCTCCAAGGCAAAGTAAAGGCTTGATCATAGTTATAACTAACCAAGATGTAAATGCTATAAAGCTTATAAAAGGTAATGAGGCCGGGTGGTGGTGGCGGAGCACGCCTTTAATCCCAGCACTTGGGAGGCAGAGGCAGGCGGATTTCTGAGTTCGTGGCCAGCCTGGTCTACAGAGTGAGTTCCAGGACACCCAGGGCTACACAGAGAAACCCTGTCTCGAAAAACAAACAAACAAACAAACAAACAAACAAACAAAAAGGTAATGAGGCCACTGAGGCAAGGCCAGAGTGGATTGCTCATGTTGGTGCCAGCACCATACACAGTGGGGAGCAGAGGGAGGCTGTGGGTACTGAAAGATCTAAGTGTGTCATCACGCTGAGTTGAAAAGGTAACTGTAGAAACTAAGCTTACCACATAGGAATTTGAAAGAGTAATTAAAATGAACACGCAAAAGAAAGAATAAGTTGGGAGTAATTAAACATGGAAGTGAGGACTGGAACTGAAAGTGTCATAAAAGATAATTTTAGTATAAGCTCTTAAACAAGGAATTTTTATAACAACAATACACAAATAGAAACAAACTCAAACAGGAGGACAAATCACTTCATGGTTTTTAATGAGAGCTCATATTCTTTTGCTCAGAAGCTCATCTGTCCTTTAGAAAAATGTTGAGTTCCTGTTTTATAGCTAGAAATCACCATTTGAAGTTACTATTAACTACTATTGAATATTATGATTTCATAAAGGGTAAAGGAAGGTATGTGAAGAGGACAGATTTATCCTTTAACTTTTAGTAAGCTGCAAGGACTGAGCTGTCTAAGGGTTCTTTCAGTGTTGACTGTGAAGAAACTCTCTTGCCTTGCACTCAGTTACACTCAAGACTTTGAGCAGCTGCAGTCAGATATTATCAGGCAGAAATCTTTAACATAAGCATCTGAGACTCGTTCATGTCAACTGCTTCTCTTTAAGAAGGGTATTCTTTATTTTAAACATTAACCGATTCCTAAAGGCTGTCTTAGGGGGAGAAATTCCTTTCCTTTCCTATTCCTATCAACCCTCCTCTCCACTTGAAGTTCCAGCTAGTTCTAGGAAATGAAAAAGTAACTCCCTCCTCAACACTCTAAGAGTGTCTTAATTCCATATGCAAAGACTTCAGGACAGTCCCCCCAGGGAGGTGGGTTGTCTTGCCTGAATCCTCAAAACCTACTTCCAGATGTGAGCCTCAAGGTAGAAAGACTACTAGACCCAGGCTTCCAACCTCTTTCCAGATGACAGCCTGAAGGAAGATGAGTAAAGATCCAATTCTGATTCCAGATGTGGGCCAAAGGGCATAGGAGTAAATTGCAACATCTTTCCTGCCATGTGTAATGCCCTAAGCGAGGACAGCTACTCATCCCTCTCCAACAGCACTCCATTTTGTCTCCAGAGAGCTAAGTCTCTAGAGATTAAAGTGTCACTGCTCTGTCACTCATGACTTTCATCTATTTTCTATCCTCAAACCCAAAAGTTCTGAGGTTCCTCACCTGGGTCAAGGTCCTTAGCTCTGGGCACACTTTAGAGATTCGATTATTTTGAAGGTCTAGAGTCCTCAGATTAGGCAGCTTTTCCAGTGCTGAGGGCATCTTGGTTATCTTCTTTGCATTCAAAGTAAGGATCTTAGTGTTCCTGCCACCCTTCAGTGCTGTTAGCAATAATCTCTCAGCCATGACTTTTGAAGAGGTGACCATTATGGAGGAAGAGTTATTATATATCTTTAAAATATGTAATTGCAGAATTGTTGTGTCATAGATGCAAAACCACTCCCCATTATGATGAAGGTAGGAGGTATTAGATGATTTTCTAAGTAGAGAGAGGAAATTGCCACTGCAGGTTAGGCCAGAAGCATACAAGACAGGGCATGTGTAACCAGGCTTGCCCATGCCAGACACATGGACATTATCAAACACTGAGATCATATACTGGGCCAGTTTTGGGAGTCTTCCACCAGTTTGAGATGAGAAAGGCTAAACATCTGAAAAAAAAATAATAATAATCATGCCGGGCGGTGGTGGTGCGTGCCTTTAATCCCAGCACTTGAGAGGCAGAAGCAGGTGGATTTCTGAGTTCCAGGCTAGCCTGGTCTACAGAGTGAGTTCCAGGACAGCCAGGGCTACACAGAGAAACCCTGTCTCGAAAAACCAAACCAAAACAAAACAAAACAAAAAGTAATGTAAAGTAGACTGAAATATTTCCTAATACTGAAGCCTTGGAGTTCATACCACAGCATTCTATAAAAGGAGGGAAAAACTCATTAATCATACTTGGAGTGGGTGAGACATTAGCTCAGTCTAAAATCTAATAAAGGAGAAATGAATCAAGCATGTATTACATTATTCTAATACAAACTGGGTGTCAGTATATTCAAATAGTTCATAGTTTTCATTCATACAGAAACTGGAGCTAATAAATGAATTTTAACAAGCCTTAGAAAATTCATCATTTCTCCAAGTTCTAATGAAAAACAGGAGCCCGGCTGGTAGGATTAAAATTAATAACCCATTAATCAGCTTTAGCTGCTTACAACTGAAAGCATCATGTGGGATGAAAGTACCTGATGGGATGCAGCAAAGAGTGCGGATGAAACCTCATGCAGAAAACTAACCCTACATCTTACAATGGCTTTAGGCTAACCAACACATACAGAATGGGAGGCCCAGAGAACAAGCTGAAGTTACCCTCAGTGATTTAGCCAAACCTCTAACATAGGAAGCTCTACCGAAGTGGTTCTCGCCTCTCCTAATGTGGCTTTAATACAGTTCCTCATGTTGTGGTGACCCTCATCCATACGATTATTTTCATTTCTACTTCATGACTATAATTTTGCTATGGCTATGAATCGTAATGTAAATATTTTTGGAGATAGAAGATTGCCAAAGGGGTAGTGATTCACAGGTTGAGAACCACTGCTCTATAGGGAAATGTAAAATGAAGTTTCAGAAATTGCATGATTAAAAATGAAAACTACTGAAAACAAGCATTAATAATAGCAAACTACAATGTGTGCACCTGGACAGAATCTTGATCTCAATAAGCATAGCACTCAGTCAGAGAAATGCACTGATGAGCTGGTTATGATTACAGTAATCCTTGATTCTGCTTATATAAAACAATACAGTAATAGCAACAGGACTTGTTTTACATGCATCCAATGTTTAGAAACGTTTACAGAAACTGGAGAAAGTAGGGGAAGCAGCAAGATGGGCACAATGTTGATAATTATTGACATTACTGACACTGAGTAACAGGCACACAGGGATTCTTAATGCTTGTCTTACTCTTTCGGGAGTATCTTGAAAATGACAGAAGAGGAAGCTGTAGCCAGGGCCCTTTGATCATTAGAATCCATCTGTACCTAGATATGAGGAATTCTGGAGGCACTTTGGTTAGACATATTACAAACTTAGATTATGATTGCCAAGTATTTAGATACTATAAATGATACTCAACCTACCAAGTTTTTCATTCAGAACACAACTCTAGTGCAAGAGCTGACTACAAAGGAGTAGATGAAGAAGTTAAAAGGCTCTGCTCTCAAGGAAATTATAATCCAGTTGTAGAAAACAAATCATGATAATGATGTAAATCTATCTTGTCTAGCAGATGAGGATAGTTACTACAGGTAAAAAAAAAAACCAGGCAAGAGAAATAAGATAATATTTTAAGGAAAATAGAAAAAAAAGGGGGGTCACTGGGAAGTGCTATTGAAGCAAGACTTTTCCAACATGAGAACAGCGAGTGCCATAGTTCTGAAATAGGAACAGTAACCTTACAACAGTACAATGAACATCATTATCATCAAAACAAGACAAGCTTGTCGCTAGTGACTTCCAGTTGCTAGTATAAATAAAACCATTTCCAGCTACATGTGAACTGCCTTCTTTCTTCCAATTCTAGTTTTGTAAGAAAAACTATTAAGACTCTAACCAAAATGTCTGCAGGGCTTTATTCTTGAAAAGTCTTATTCTTAGGGCTCAGAGAGAAGGCTCAGTGGCCAGGACTCAAGTTTGGATCCCTGAACCCATGTCCTGCAACTCATGACCACCTCCAACTTCAGCTTTATATAATCTAACAGGCTCTTCTGAACTCTAAGGTCATCCATACTTACTCGTGCACTCACACACAATAAAAATTAAAATTTACAAAAACTATGCTCTGGTTTCTCCTGAGATTACATTAATCTTTCCTCTGGAGACAGGCTAGTTAAAGTACTTGCTACACAAGTCTGATCTCCAGAAGTCAGGAAACTCGGGGTACACTTAGTGGCTCACCTGCAAATCTAACTCTGGAAAGGCAGAGACCTTGATCCCCATAGCAAGTTGGCTAGCCAAAATAGCCATGTAGATCCCACATCAATGAATAAGATAGAGAAAAGTAGAGAAAGACTCCCAAAGGCAGCCATGTGCCTCTACATGAACGCACACATGAACTATCAAACATATGATCATGAATACACACATGTACACACACACACACACACACACACACACATACACAAGGAGGAATCTTTTAAAAAGCTGTACCACTATCACCTCTAAGTGACTATTTATTGTGTGTCCACAATCCTACACGATGGTACCCAAACACTGGAAAATTGTTAATCACCCAGAAAGGGAGCACTGTAACCTTATCCTGCTTCCTATTGCTCTGACAAACCTAGATCATACTGTAAACTTTTACTCCTTCTTCTATAACATATAACAGGTAAACAATAGTATAAACCCAATCTACACTGGTTATCTATTGCTGTAAAACCACCAAACGATGATTTAAAACATTAATTTATTTACCAATCTTAATTTGGTCCAAGATTATATTTGCTCTCTTTGATGACCACTGCGGCAGCCCAAAGGCCAGATAAGCAAAAATCACCTAAAGGTTCACCTTTCTATATCTTGCAAGAGATGCTGATTGTTGACTAGGACCTTCAGGTAGTCAGCCTAGACATGTGGCTTGAGTATCTCAAGATAGAAAGCAGGGTGGAAACATTACCTCCATGACTCAGCCTGAAGTCATGGGGCATCATTCTTGACTGTTAATTCAAATCAACCATCTTTTGATTAGAAAGAAGCAAGTCACTGAGATCTGCCCACATTTCAAGTGACACAAATTAAACTCTACCTCTTGGCAGCAAGTGAGAAAAATAAAATGATGCGGACGTGTTCTAAGACCCAACCATAACCCACCCAAAGTCCTTTTTTGAAAAATTTTGCTTACTTTGAAACACTGGATATAGACGAAGTTATATGACTGGCTTCTGAGAATAACGTTTGCAAGGCATGTAAAGGCATACACCATTATTTAATTTTGACTGCTAAATAATATTCCATCATAGCTACATATCAATCACTTTTTATTCATCATTTCATCTTCATGAAGTGCATTTGGGCTCTTCCTGCTTTGGGCTCTTGGAAATAACACTGAGGAATTAAAGGTGTAACATTTCATTTAACTAGGGTATATACTGAGAACTGGGATCATTACGTCATACAGTACCAGTACATATACTCTTTTGAGGCATTACCACACTGTATTCCTTGGTGGTTGTACCATTTTATTGTGGTAGACACAATTCTACCAACAGAGTATTAAGGCTATTTTTGATTTAGCATTATTGCTTTCTATCCAAACTGACACAAATTCTTTTTGAAAAAACTTCAGTGGGTCTTTCAAGGCTTTACCACATTCTGTAAAGCAAGATCTCCATCTGCAGCTGCCTCCAGAATGTGCAGTCTCTGTCTTGGAATTCCTTCAAACATTTCTTTATTATACTTAGTAGGTGGGTGAGGAGAACTGTCACAGCATACATGTGAAGGTCTGAGGCCAACCTGTAGGAATCAGTTCTCTCTCCTTCCACCATTAAGATCCAGGGACTGAATGCAGGTCCAACTTGGTGACAAACACCTTTACCTTCTGAGCCACCACCTCACCAGCCCTCTATCTTGGATTTCCAGGTGAAACTGCTATGGAATTGAACCTTTAAGATTCTATCCATTCAGTTGGGATCTATGATCCTCCTGTGTCCCAAACAAAATCTACATATCATCAGCTTCATCATGTACTTTCTTTATAGTTTCTTAGAGTTGCTCTGTCTGGAAGACATTTCTGACTTTGAGTATCATTTATTATCTGGTGAGACTGAGTGTAACAGCATTTTCTACAGAAACAGAACTGATAGAATGATTCATGGGATTTATTAGAGTGGCTTACAGCCTGTGGTCTGACTCTTCCAACGATGGCTGTTTTCCAACATACAGTCCAAGAATCCAATGCTTGTTCACTAGAGACTGTATGTTCCATCATGAGACTGGATGTCTTCAGTATATGCACAAATCCTTTAGAAGTAGGCTCTAATACAAGTGAAGGAATGACCTTGACACAGAGAGATTGAGGTCAAGTAGATTTAAAAAAAAAAAAAAAAAAAAAAAACTTCCCTCCTTCTCCTTCATGTAGGCTGCCACAAGAAGGTGTGACACAGATGGAAGGTGGATCTTCCCACCTCCATTGATTCAAGCAAGAAAAATTCCTCACAAGTGTACCCAGCAGCTTGGGTTTTAACTAATTCCAGATGTTGTCAATTTGACAACCAAGTATAGCCATTAGTTTTACTATTCAAACTCCCAAAGGCATGCTCTCTTATATTTAAATCTTCTTCTTGATCATCTCTCATC